AGTGCAGCATTCAATGCTATCTTAGATGCTATTGGTTTTATTCAAAATGTGAATGGTCCCAGACATTCTCATCTTCCTACTTTGGATCTTATGACATATGGCATAGAATGTGAAGAAATAACAGTATTTCCTCACACCCCTGTCCTCTCTGACCACTTTTTAATAACCTTCAGGATTACTTTAACAGAGTTCTCCTCCCCAAAAGAAGGTATCACTTTAGCAGATCATTATCAGATAGTGCAGTCATAAATTTTAAAGAATCTGTTTCACTTTCTCTCTCCTGTGTCACTGAGCAGTGCTGCAGATTGCCAAAGCTTAGTTTATTCCACTTAATAGGTTGATGATTTTGTTGGTGGGGTTGCTAGTTCTCTGCGTACTGCCTTAGACAATGCAGCCCCTTTGAAAAAGAAAAACTTTAAAAATAGAATTCTGGCTCCCTGGTTTAATGCAGAGCTGCACACTCTGAAGCAAAATGCTAGGAAACTGGAGAGAAAATCGCGCTCCAACAGGCCTACGGGAATCCTACCTAGTTTGGAAAAAATAATTCCAGTCCTTAAATAGCTTTTAAGGTTGCTGTAATTGAACCTTTACTTAAGAAACAGTCTCTTGACCCAGATGACTTGGTTAATTGTAGACCTATAGCCAATCTTCCTTTCTTATCTAAGATTCTTGAGAAAGTAGTTGCCAAACAGTTGTGTGATCACTTACACCATAATGAACTTTTTGAAGAGTTTAAGTCTGGCTTTAGATCTCTTCATAACACTGAAACAACTCTGATGAAAGTCACTAATGATATTCTTATGGCCTCAGATAATGGACTTGTATCTGTACTTGTCCTGTTAGATCTGAGTGCTGCATTTGATACAGTTGAACATATTATTCTTTTAGAAAGATTTTAATATTTTGTAGGAATTAAAGGAACAGCACTAGACTGGTGTAAACCTTATCTGTCTAATCGATTTCAGTTTTTTCACATTAATGATAAATCTTCCTCATGCTCAAGGGTTACCTGTTGAGTACAACAGGGATCAGTGCTAGTGCCAATTCTCTTTACTTTATATATGCTCCCAATAGGTATAATTTTAAGACAGCATGGGATTAATTTCCACTGTTTATGTCTATAAATGCAAATTACGCTAACCCATTACATAGATCACAGGCATCTCTAGAAGACATAAAAACTGGATGAATCTTAACTTTCTGCTCTTGAATGCAGACGAAGCAGAAGCTATAGTCTTCGGACCAGAGTCTTTGAGAAAGAAGCTGATTAGTCAGTCACTTCATACGGATTGGACTAAACTGAGTTCAGATAATAATGTTAAAAAAATTGGTGTTATTTTTCAGGACCTGGCATTTAAATCCCATATCAAAGAGGTTTCCAGAATTGATTACTCATTTCACACACCTGCTTAGATCTGCCCAGTTCTTATTACCCACTCATCTTATCCACCTGCATTGTTTGCTATATAACCAGCCTTCAAACTAGTCATCAGTCCCAGATTATTACGAGCGATTGGTGAGACTTATTCTAGTGTGTTCTGGCTACCTGATCCTGACCTGTTCTGCCTCTCGACATCTGAGTTTGCCTGTTCCCAACTGAACTGTTTGCCTGACCTGTCTTCTGTCTCCTGCCTGTTCTCTGCCTGATTGTGTACCGGATCTAGAACTGTGTCCCGACTTCATCCTGGATTCTCCGTTGGCACCTCATGGTATCTCTGACCTCCTGGCTCTGGCAGTTAACCACATTGCCGACATTGGCTTTCATGAAGCAATGGCATTCTATGCCCCATGCAATGAATGGAGGTACGTATTATTATTGTCGCCAAAAAACTGACTCTTTGTTTTTTATATATTAAGTTTATTCTTCTTCCCTCAACCTTAAGGGTTGAGGGAATATAGGTATCAAAATGCCCGGCTGGGTCCTGGCAGGCGTGCTATTATTTTTAAAGGGATTGGAGTTACCATGGCGATATAATTTGCACAAAACCATGTATAAAAATCCCATAGGAATGAATGGGGAGAGGGGAGAAAGAAGACATAAAAATCCACTATTATTGAGCCTTTGCTGTGTTCACCTACAAACAGCTTAAAGCTCCGTTTGTAGATAAATCCTTCATCTTTCGAACTGAAAATGTTATGTTGATTACTGCAACAGTTTTTCTAGCTATCAAGCACCACAAAGTTTGAGCAAAATCATGAATCCAAGAGCATGTCACATGACTTTTCAGAGTGAGGGAGATATGTTTTTTTAAAAGCACCTAAATTTTTTAAATCACTCTCATGGCTGCATATTTTGTGTTTCAGTCACCATTTTCATAGTTTGTAGATACCATTTATGGTTATCATCAGCACTCATTTGTTATGAAGCATTTTTACCATTTTAAAAAGCCTGAGACTTAAGATGCCATGGTGTCTGCCAATCTAGCACCTGAAACAGAGCTTGAAAGAGGCCCCATTGCCACTTGGATAAAGCATATATTCACCATTGACTGTTCTCCCTGCTGCCCTCTGGGAGGAGGATTTGCAGCATTAAATGCAGGTCCAGCAGTTTTTTTTAAACCACATTAGAAGAGTGTTGAGTTGGGGGCTGTGGTGTAAGCATAAACCTTTTCAAAGCAGTCAATAAACTAAATCAATCTGCAGCGAGATTGATCCCAGACAATAGACACAAAGAAAAACACTCACAGCCACAATGCTAGTTCAGCAATACTGAGGTTGCTAATGTTATTGATTTTTCAATGTGATTAATACTTCAAAAAAATAAATTCTGTAGAAGATACCTATTTGTCTCTAAATCAGTATTTGCCAATCATCTTTTCAATCAGTGAGTGTATGTCTGTTGAGGTTTATATTTCTTTAAAAGGTAAACTATAACATATTTATGATTTTGCAAATGTTTACATTATATGGTTTATCTGTATACCTGCTCATGGCATGAAAAGTCCAGTTTCTGCATAAAACACAACTTTTGTTGTACAAAATGATGTGTTTTTGTGGTAAATAAGTTTATAAAATCCAGGTTTAATGTCAGGAGGAGAGTGAATGAAAACTTACAGCCTTCCTGCTATCTTCCTTGTTTGTATAGAGAACAGGATAAGGCATGATCATCATCAGGCTCTCTTGTTTTTACAAGGGTTTTTTTCACACATTAAAATGATCAGAACAAGGTTCTGTTTAGTTATGGAGCTTCAGTCATAACAGGAAGGAAGGAAGCATGGACTTATAAGTCACATCTTTGGGTTTTCAAAAATACTTTGAATTCGGAAAACCCAATGATACAGATATGACGGCTGAAATGTTGCTGAATAATGTTCTATTTAGAACATCGCCTGATACTGTAAGAACCACACGGCCCTACCTGAGGCATTTGACATGAGGAGGTCACCGAAGATTTTGACATTTGTCAAATAAACAATTGTTTCTAATAAACAATAGAAAAGCAAGTAGTCGTAGAGCAATCACAGCATAAACTGTTTTACTAAACAGCCTTTAGCTGACAGATCCTCCATCTCAAGTGATAGCCATCGTCTTTCAGCAGGAAAAAACTAAATCCCCTCCTTGGAGTTGATTGTTGTTGCCATAGCAGCGCTTCTGTCCTTCAAGCATCCTTTATCTCTGCAATACTTGAAATCTCTCTCTCTCTCTTAAAATGTGCATAGGAGAAAATGGCACAATGTTTATCAGTTACTTCTAGGTTGGATCCTGGTTTTGTAACCTAAATAGGACCACGAGTTGTTAAATCTAAGAACAGAATCTTAATAATAGGTAAAAATGGAGGAAAATATAAACTGTTTCTTAAAGAGCAACTCAAAGATACACCTGACAGACACACTTAGAAGAAACTAGTTTTTTTTTAATATATATTATCTTAGGAGGTGCTGAATGGAGCCAATGGGATGCATCGAAATGCAGACACAGTGTGAAAACCTGAACACCCACTGATGGCAGCAGCTTGGTTCATTCAGCCCAACCAACAAAAGCAGCTGCTCCACATTATTCAAAGGAACACTGTCAGTGTGGTAATGATACCACTCAGGCTGTTTGTGTAATAAACTCTTTATCTGGATGTTTAATCAGACATTTGTAATTTAAATAATAGTAATGTGCCAAAATGTCCATAAAAAGGTAAAAAGAAGAGTTTCATACTATCCAATCATTTAATTTTTTTAGTCATTTACATTTGTCCTTTTATCCCTAATCATTTGGTTTCTCCTGTTCCTAGGAGAAACCTATTTTTTTCAAATCTTTTTTTAAAACATACATATTTTGGTATGGTTTGTTTTTCTATTGTTTATTATTTCCTATACATTTTTGTTGTTGCTTTTAATTCTCTTTTTACACGTTTTATTTAATTTCTTATTTGTTACTTTTAATCTGCACTTTCATGAGTTTACAAAAAAAGAATTTTTCTAATAATTTGCTTTTCCCATATCAGTTTTTCATCTGACATTAAGGATCACAGTTTCTATAAGGTGGTTTCAAGGTTCTATGGTAAATACACAAAATAATTTGATTAGGTTTACTTGAAACAGAACATAACAAATAGTAATCATATTGCTGATAAAATTAAACAAAATATAGGCTCTTACAAAACTGCTTCTACTGTTTGAGATTAGTATGCAGAGAATAGAAAACTATATTTAGGAATTATATCTGACTGAAGTTCTCCAGTATTTGTCAAGTGAATACCCCTAAACTAAGGCCTGTAGCTTTAAATTCATTTCCCTCTTTCCAAAAGTATGTGAGGCTAAACAGCAGTGTGCTTTAAAGCATTAGTAGGTTCTCTCCATGAACACATTAGGAGCAGCTTCCTCCTAATGTCCAAAATCATTTATGTCAGTCAGGTATAACAGCATGTCTGAATGTTTGTTTGTGTCTTTAGCTCCCTCCACAGCTAACCTTTGTGGTCAGAAACTGTAAACTGAGACAGTAAATCATCTTTGTATGACAGCTTCATGTGTGATCTTTATAATCCAGAGAATGTGACCATGAGCACTGACCCGGTCTCTGAGTGAGAGCACCTCCATCTCCAGGTACCGATGCTCCTCTCTCGCCTGCTCCAGCTCAGTTTCCTTACTCGACAGCTTCTCCTGCAGGCTCAGGAGTTGCTGAAAGAAAAACAAGGATAGTTAGCACTTAGCTTTAGAACAGATTCTCATCTCAGAATAGTAGAAAATAATTGGAAATGCATGGACTGAATGTAAAACAGATAAAGCCAAAGTGGTGGCTAAAATAAAGATAGTTTAGCTTTTCCCAGTCAAATGTATAATATATCAGTAAGGAATTTAAGAACAGATTTAATCTCATTAAATCATTAGTAAAGATTTTTTTGATAGTTCGACATAAATAAAAACAAAGAAAATATTTAGAATTATCTTTTCAATTCAGACCATATTGGATATACTTATTTAAAAAGGTGAACACCAATTATACAAGCAATATGAGTCGAAATGGTCTTGCAGCAGAATAAAATAGATAGAAACATTCTTTATTGTCCATCATGGAGGAAATTTAGGTTTAACAGCAGAAAACTGACAGGAAAACAGAGACAGCTACGCATTGAGAGAGCAAAGATAACAAAAAGATTTTTTTAGACTGTAGTGTAAGGTTGAATGTGATACATAAGAAATTAAAAAGTAACGTTTGAAAAAACTCAAAATATGGACATATAGACTGGGCTCAGACATTTTTGTTTTTTAATAAAAGCGAATTAAGAGAATTTGCCTCCATGGTAATATAATCTCAAAGGAGGAAGGACCTACGATAACCCTGTTTTTTGCACCTAAAGTAGAGCAGTCTTCCTCTAAAGATGCTCTCTATCTCTAAAAGAGCTCCATGCATGAGGATGGGGACATTTTCCAAGAATTATGCTATTTTAGCTAACCTTCTCCTGCCACCCATCACCTGCAATGGAGTTGAAAAAAATTATCTCCTGAAACCTTTCTACATTTTTTTTATTACAATCACGGCTGCTGAGTATACCAAGATGATTTTATGTGAAGAACGGATTTTTTGTAAAAAGCAAGAAAGCCCTTCTATTATGTTTTTTTTATTAGTATCCCTATTTGCTCAGATAGAACCTATAAAAAAATCCAGCATCATAAAATACCTTTTGGGATCAACAATATAGGCAATACAGCAAGGGAAATGTAAATTTTCCCCCAATGAAATGGTATAAAACTAACATTACACAGATACATTGACCTGAAAGGAGTTTTTTGTTCTTTCGCAGAACTGAGAATCTGTGGCACGACTTACTTAAACTTAATCCTTATGATTGTCATGATGGGTCTGAGAGGCCCAAGGATGCAGAACACCACGGAGGCAGAAACAGGGGTAAAAGTATAACAGAGTTTATTGAAGATAGTCACAAAGTATAATGACTGGTACTGGGTCGCTTCTGGGGTTCTGGTACTCAGGTAACTGGAAGGGAGACAGTTCAGTTAGCCACGTAGCTGAAGAATGTTGGGATGTAATTGTTCAGAGATCTACCTTGTAGAATCCGGGTTTGGTCTTTGAGAGAGGCACTGTTGGGTCCAGAGACTGTTTGGATCGACAGAGTTCGGTTTACAGCTTCAGCGTCTTGCATCTAGTTTAGGACAGACCTTGGTTCTCCAGCTCTTAGCCAGAGCTGCGTTTATATCCAGGAGGAGTCTTCAGGTTTGGCTCAGAGGGCAGTTAAGACAGGTTAAGCTCATCCAAAGCTTACAGGACAAAAACAGGTTTCCTGTAGGCAGAGACAAAAAGGGGAATTAGAATCCACTAGGAGACAAGAAGCAATCAAAGTAATCACAGAGGTAGAGAGGCTTAGGTGCTAACCAAACTGGATAAACACTGCGGCGTTGATGCAAGGTCTGAGAGCAGCTTATATAGTGGAGGATCCTCCTGATGACGAGATGGGCTTCAGGTGTGTCGAAGGCTCAGCTCAGGAGGATCCACAGCGAACTCTGCTGGAGACAGGTGGTACAGCTCCAGATCCCAACAGTACCCCCCCCTCAACGACCGCCTCTTGGCGGTCCAGAAGATGTCGATGGAAGGGATCGCTTGTACTCCTCGATGAGGGACGGGTCGAGAATGTAGGAACCAGGAACCCACTGGCGATCCTCCGGACCGTAGCCCTCCCAGTCGACGAGGTACTGCCATCCACGACCTCGCCGACGGGAGTCCACGATCCGGCGGACGGTGAAAGCCGGATGTCCATCGACTTCCAGGGCGGGTGGAGGGGAGTCGGACGGAGGGCACAAGGGGCTGGAGATCACAGGCTTGATCTGAGAGACGTGGAATGTCGGATGAATACGGAGAGTCGGAGGGAGTAGTAGTCGGACGGCTGATGGGTTAATGACTTGGGAAATCCTGTATGGTCCAATGAATCTGGGAGAGAGCTTGCGGGACATCCCCTTGAGGGGAATGTCCCGAGTAGAGAGCCATACCTCCTGACCGACGGAGTAAGCTGGAGCAGGGCGTCTTCTAGAGTCGGCAAAACGTTTTGTGGTCTCCATGGAACGGTTGAGGGTGGCTATGGTGTCTCTCCAGATGCGATGACTGCGGCGGATGTGGTGGTTGACTGACTTGACCGAAATCTCTCTCTCGTCTGCGGGAAAAAAGTGGAGGTTGATAACCGAGACTGACCTGGAATGGAGATTGGCCGGTGGAAGCTGATTTCAGGGAGTTGTGAGCGTATTCTATCCAAGGGAGGTGTTGGCTCCAGTCGGTGGGATGACTGGGGGTTAGACACCGAAGGGAGGATTCGAGCTGTTGATTCATACGCTCTGTCTGACCATTGGACTGGGGGTGGTAACCTGAGGTGAGAGATGGCTTGCAGTCGAGAGCAGAACAGAAGGCTTTCCATACCTGGGAGATGAATTGTGGACCAGGTCGGAAAGGATCTCTTGGGGGATACCATGTAAGCGGAAGACATGTTTGATTAGAAGCTGGGCGGTCTGAAAAGCTGTGGGAAGCTTCCTAAGGGGAACAAGATGGCAGGACTTGGAAAAACGGTCAACGATCGTGAGAATAGTGGACATACCTCGAGACACAGGGAGACCAGTGACAAAGTCAATTGCGATATGGGACCAGGGACGAGATGGTATAGGAAGTGGATGCAACAGGCCAGAAGGAGGTTGGTGTGTGGATTTGTTTCTGGCGCAGGTAGGACAGGCCAGCACGTATTCCTTAACATCCCTGTGAAGGGTGGGCCACCAGAAACGCCTAGAGATGAGGTTGATGGTTCTGCTCACCCCTGGATGAGCGGCAAACTTGGCATTGTGCATCCACTAAATGAGACGAGACCTGACGGATGAAGGAACATAAGACTTGTTAGGTGGACTGTTACCTGGGTCAGGTTCAGAGGCCAGGGCAGAGTTTATAAGATTGGTAATCTCCCAGGTAACCACCCCAATGGTGCAGGAAGCGGGTAGAACAGGTTCAGGCGTCTCGGATTGATCGGAGGAGTATAGACGAGAGAGAGAATCGGGTTTGATGTTTTTTGATCCTGGTCTGTAAGAGATGATGAGGTTAAATCTGGAGAAGAATAGTGACCACCTTGACTGCCGAGGGTTGACCTGTTTGGATATAAGCGAGATTCTTATGATCAGTCCAAAAAAGAACCGGGTGTTCCGCCCCCTCCAGCCAGTGTCTCCACTCCTCCAAAGCCAATTTTATGGCTAGTAGTTCACGGTCTCCAACGTCGTAATTCTGTTCGGCTGAAGAGAGTCTACGGGAGAAAAAGGCACAAGGGTGAACTTTTTGATCTGAATCCAGTCTCTGGGATAGAACGGCACCAACTCCTGAGTCGGAAGCGTCGACTTCAAGGATGAACTGCTTTGAGGGATCAGGCTGGATTAATACTGGAGCTCTGGAAAACAACATCTTCAGTTTATCAAAGGCGGATTGTGCCTCAGGGGACCATTGAAAAGTTCTCTTGACTGAAGTGAGTGAGGTTAGTGGCAGGGCTGTCTGGCTATAGTTCCTGATAAATCTCCGATAAAAATTTGCAAAACCCAAGAATCTCTGCAGCTGTTTGCGGTTTTCCGGGACTGGCCATTCCAGGACTGCCTTTATCTTATCCTGGGATGGCTTAACCTGTCCACCCTCGAGCTCAAACCCCAAAAAGGTGACTGAAGGTTGGTGAAACTCGCATTTTTCTGCCTTGACGAAAAGCTTATTTTGTAGGAGTCTCTGTAAAACCAGACGAACATGCTTCTTGTGTTCAGAAAGATCCTTGGAATAAATGAGAATATCATCGATGTAGACAAAAACGAACACGTTCAAAAAATCTCTGAGGACGTCGTTGACTAAAGCTTGAAAACATGCAGGGGCGTTCGTTAGACCAAAAGGCATGACTAAATACTCGAATTGACCTAGAGGGGTCTTAAAGGCTGTCTTCCATTCATCGCCCTCTCTGATTCTGAGAAGGTGATAGGCGTTCCTTAATTCGAGCTTAGTAAAAACGCTTGCACCCTGAACTGGTTCGAAAGCTGAAGCGAGTAGAGGAAGTGGGTACTTATTTTTAACTGTGATCTGGTTTAAGCCTCTGTAGTCGATACAAGGTCTAAGAGATCCGTCCTTTTTACCCACAAAAAAGAAGCCTGCCCCCAAAGGAGAAGATGAAGGACGAATTATTCCAGCAGCTAGAGATTCATTAATGTACTTTTCCATCGTCTCTCGTTCAGGCTTGGAGATATTGTATAGCCTACTGCCGGGTAGAGGGGCCCCTGGTAATAATTCAATGGCACAGTTGTATGGTCTGTGAGGTGGAAGGGACGTAGCACTGACCTTACTGAAGACAGGGGCTAGATCATGGTACTCTGGAGGAACAGAAGAAAGGTCAGGAGCGTCCATCTCCCCCCCACCCCTAGGAGATCTTACAGCGGGGGCCGCTGAACGAAGACATGTTTCGTGGCATGAGGTTGACCATGACTCGATGTGGTGATCGGTCCAATTAATGTGGGGGTTATTTCGTTCCAGCCATTCAAAACCCAGAACCAAAGGAGAACATGCGGAGGGAAACACAAAAAAAGATAAGGTTTCTCGATGGTTACCTGAGACCAACAGCTCGAGGGGTTGAGTTTGGTGGGTAACTTGATGAAGTTCTTTTCCATCGATCGCG